TAAGGGGGGTAAACACACCCCAATATCTACATCATCAAAACAACATAAGTCTAAAATCCAATAAATAACGTCATAATCAAAACATAAAGAGTTTAGACTTCTATAACTAATAGACTAGTCTAACTCGATCACTTCTCAAAGCTGGGTCAACCTGAAAGGGGTTTTACAAACAACACATAGACAAATAGGAAAACACCCGTTAGCACGAAGCTAAGTATAACCACACTCGACCCTGTAAAGTACTACAGTATATACTTGGAAAAACATTTGTTCACATTAATAATCAACAATCTCATCACATAGGCAACTATAGTTACAACACAGACTTTCTATATGCTTGCAACCTATAATATCAATAGGCATGCTTCAATACAAATGACTTTACAACATAAAGATTCCAACACATAAATATCACAACGAACTCATCGTAACGAACTCATGCTTACAAGCAATTTCATACTATTAAACAATACAAAAACTATCGTCATGCTTTCAGGTTCTCATCATGCAAACTGGATATACAAGACTTCAAAATATAACTAAGCAATCATACTCGATAAAAAAAATTCATTCGTCATTCTCATTATGCAATCTCATGCAATACTATAACTATACTCAAATGCAATCTCGTGCAATACTATAAATATACTCAAATGTAATCTCGTGCAATACTATACTCAAATGCAATCTCGTGCAATACTATAAATATACTCATACACTCGTTTGTAAAGTAGAATACTTTCTGTGGAGGTCTCATTGAGTCATAAACGACTTGCTTTCTTTCTCTTGAGTCTCTTGACTCGATATCTTTCTTGCTCAAACTTTCTCATACTTCTAATTTCTCTTCTTGTGCGAGGCAGGTACTCCGCCACAGCGAAGCCCTAGCATACGGTGCAATCTCGTGCATCCGCCACATCCGTAACTATGGAACCTCTAACTTGTGGGGAGGTAGGTCTTCACGAATCGTGAATGGACCTAACCGGGTCGGCAATCTAGCCGGCCACATACTCAACTCACCCACAGAACCACTCTATTGGTTCTTTATCTTTCGTTCTTTCTTGCTTTCTCTGTAGAATCAGGTATCGTACTTTTAGTGTGCACACCCCCTAACCAGGATTCCAAGCTTGGCGGGCAGTCTCCAACCTCGTAACATGGGAATACACCGCGTTACATATACTGGGACCGCAATGTCCATAAAAATCATCCGAGAGGACATAGTCCAAACGGAGTCCTCCAAAACCTCACCGATATAGATAATATATAAATATATCTCTCATGCATCAATCTCATGCATGCAACATCTCAACAACTCCTCAATGCATCAAATAATGATATACCACATTCTTATGGAGTTTGAAAGTAATACTTAGACTCACGTTGGCCACTTATGCAGCTTTTAAAACATGATATACTTGAGATGCAAAAACACTCTACAACATGCTCCAAATCCATGTATATAATTCATAAAATTAAAAATTCTCAAGAATACAATCTCATGCTAGGCTTGCAACATAACAAATTTTATATAATTCCATCGTCAAAATATACTCCAAATTCCATTGATCAAACAACACATTCTAGTCATGCTTTTCTAATAAGTCATATTCTCAAAGTGATCATGCTTCTCTACACAACACAAAATAACATCAGGCAACAAGGCAAGTTCTTACTATAGATATAGCTCATGCAGCTATAGATATAGTTCTTACTATATGACAGCACGCGATTGCTTATTGAATTATGTGTTAGCATGAGACTGCTTACTGAGATAGATGATGATATGAGATTATTGAAAGATAAATATGTGATATTATGAACTTGTTGATAAGCTAAATAATTGTGATAGCATGCCTATTTGTTAATTAGGTTGCAAGCATATAGAAACCCTGTGGAGCATGTTAAAGTATTGCCTAAGTGATTGAGAATGTTTGATCTAAGAATGTGAAACAAATGTTTTCCAAAAGTATATACTGTAGTACTTTACAGGGTTGAGTGGCGTTATACTTAGCTTCGTGCTAATGGGTTTGTTTTCTACTTGTTATTCATTAACCCCTTTCAGGTGGGCCCAGTTTGTGAGAGTACGAGTTAGACTAGACTAGCATAGTTAGCTGTTGTAGTCTAAACTCTTGATGTTGATTTCTTTTGAGACTTGTAGTCGACTACCCTTTGTTTTTTTATGGTGCTGGACACCGGGGTTTATCCCCTAGTTTGATTGATGCTAGTAAAACTTTTAATGATTTAGTTTGTTTATCCTTAGCCTGTGCAATCACCGTGAAGGGTGATTGTGGCGGTAACACCTCTATTAAGTTGCTTAGTAAGTTTATTCTGTTGCCTTAGCTTACCTTTTAAGGTTAAGTCTGTTAAATAAGTTTAAGAAAAGTGGGGTGTTACACCGTCCGCCCTTACTTCAGAGGTTGCTCCGCCATCACGCGCTACCGGATATGAACAGCTACAGGACAATGTATAACTACGGTACGTTATATTTGGACAGAGAAGAAGACGAAGAGGAAGAACATGAAGAAGCAGAAGACGACGAGGTCTTATCCTACAAAGCAGCGTTGCCGAAGGTGAATAGCTACAAGACAGTGTATAACTACAAGTCTTATCCTACGCTTGCATTGTTGGTGACAAGAAGTAAGGAGACGACGAGGAAGAACGTGAAGAAGAAGGGTATATTTAGACGGAGAGCTAATGGAGGAGGGAAGCCAACGAAATGAATCCAACGGCTTATCCGGCGGCGTCGACGCTTATCCCCTGCCAGCGACTTTTTTTTTTTTTTTTTAAGGTTTTTTTTTAAAAAAAAAAAAATATCTAAATGAAATGTGATGTAGATGCTAAGCAAGCAAAATTAACTAGTGACTTTTTGGTAACTTGTTAAAAATGATAGGAATAAGGTTCAAATTGGCCACTGAACATAACCTGAAAATGCAATTAGGCCACTGAACGAAAAAAAAAAAGAGTGCAATTAGGCCACTGAACACTCCAAATGTATGCAATTTCACCTGATAACAGGTTACCTGCTTACGTGGCAACTGAGTTGGCATTTTTAATAATTTTTAATAAATTTTAATAATAAATTTAAAAAACGACGGGGTTGCCGGCGTTTTATTTATTTATTTATTTATTTTTATTTTTTTTCAATTTTTTAAAATTTATTATTAAAAATTATTTAAAAATTATTTAAAATGCCAACTCAGCTGTCACGTAAGCAGGTAACTTGCTAAAATTGATGGTAACCTGATAAAATTGATGGTAACCTGCTATCCGGTGAAATTGCATACATTTGGAGTGCTCAGTGGCCTAATTGCACGTTTTTGTAGTGTCCAGTGGCTTAATTGCATTTTTTTTCGTTCAGTGACCTAATTGCATTTTCAGGTTACATTCACTATCCAATTTGAACCTTATTCCAAAATGATAAAAGCACACTTTTAACAAGTTGAAGAGTTAATTGGAGGTTTTTTTAGTTGGAGGGGCTAATTGCTCTTTGCTATATAGTTTGAGGGTTTATTTGACACTTATCCCAATAAAGAATTGCAGCCAAGGCTGCGTGAAGGCCAACTAGCGCCCAGCCCGCGCTAGCTGGGCATGTTAATTAAATATTTGACTTTTTTTTTTTTTTTTTAAATTCAGCTTTTGTTTTGTTTTGTTTTGTTTTGTTTTTCTCCATTTTTTATTTCTTTCTTTCCTAATCACACCTACACAACTCCTCAAAAACCACATCAAAATCCCCACTATTGAGAATTCCCGAGAATAGCAACAATCTTATGATGTTCCAATCCTTCTAAGAACATATTTTGATTTTCCATTCCTTCCAAGACTTTTTTATGATTCCCCAATCCTTCTGAGAACTTCTTCCTATTCCTCAATCATTTCGAGAACTTTTACAAGGCCTTTGGTTGGATGTAATTTGGTTGTAATTAAATTATAATTCAATGAAAGCCACAATTACATTATTTGGTTAGAGAGAATTGCAATTCACTAATTTCCCCATCCTTCTTGGAACTTCTTCTAATTCCTAAATTTAAAGTTTATCAGAATTATTTATCAACATTCTTAATTAACAGATAATAAAATTTCAAGTATAAAATAATATCAACTTAACAACATCAAAATATTATTTATGCTTTTGATAAATATGTCAAAACTAATTTATTCAATCATTTGCTATATACCTATCCAACAATTATTGCTTATTTATTAACATTTAAAAAAATGTCATGATGTTCTAAAACATTGTGGAAATTCACGTACACATAATATTTGCTATGATGTATTTATTAGATGAGTTAATTATTGATTAGTCTTGATTAGGGTGACATTTTTACGACCTAGTCATCCATATAATTAAATTCTATCTCTACCTTGACATTTAAGAGTTAAAATGTGAATTAGTATGTTGTTAATTACATAATCATCAAAGTTAATGTTAGTGAACACTGGGAGAATGGCGAAGCGTCTCTTCTCGTCCTCCTCCGCAGCAAAGCGCAGCAGTTCTGACGAGAATGCGACGGCGGAGGAGCAGAGGAGGGGTGGACCGGTGGTTGTGGAGCTCTTATCATCGCCTGAGCCGGAGCTGTTCTTCCACCTAGAAGTGTCGCCGGTAAGGGACGCTTTTAATTTCTATTTAAGAAAAAAAAAAGGATTATTTGAAATTTTAAGTAGTCGGAGTCGGCGGGGGTGCGGCGGGAAGTTTGGAGGGAAACCTACCAACGGTACAGTATGATTCATTCATTCATATTTCATACCAACGGTAACAATTTCCTAATTCTGATTTCTGAGGAATTTGGAAAATCCCTCCCTACATATATTAATCTTCATACCAACGGCAACTCAACTCAACTCAATTTCCTAATTCCTACATTTACGCACTCAGACACACATATACTTAATCTTCATTCATTACCTTGCTCTGCTGTGGTGTGGTGTTTATTTTCATCATATCATGGTTTGTCTTAAAGACTTTGCTCACATTACCCTTCCTGGGGGTTCTTGCAGATTTGATTATTTACTTGAGGTGTGTAAGCAAGAGAGATTGCTACTTCACAAAGAGGAACAGAAGGATAAGCAAGAAAAGAAAGGGTGCTACAATGGTGATGATGATCAATACTATTTAGGTGGGATTGATCTCAATGAGAGTTTGATCACTCCTTCAAACCACACTGATAAGGAGGAATGGAGGAAAAGCAGCACCCCAGAGTCTATTATTTCACATTCCAGTGGCAGTGACAGCAGAGCTTCATACCAAAGGTAACTCAACATTTGCTATTTCCCAATTTTGATTTATGATGGGATTTGGAAAATAATTTAGTATATATGTATTATGTATTTGATCCATCCCTACATATACACACACACATATACTTAGTCTTCATCCATTCTTAACTAGAGTTTCTTTAGTTTTTCTTCTGTTTTAAAGTCAGTTTCTTTTATCTGCTATATATTCAGTTTTTAATACATACCTTGTTGTGTGGTGTTTATTTCTATCATGGTTCAGTCTGTAGTTTTTCTTCTGTTATGAACTCAGTTTCTTTTGTCTGCTATATATTCAGTTTTTAATAGATACCTTGTTGTGTGGTGTTTATTTCTATCATGGTTCAGTCTGTAGTTTTTCTTCTGTTATGAAGTCAGTTTCTTTTATCTGCTATATATTCAGTTTTGAATACATACCTTGTTGTGTGGTGTTTATTTTCATCATGGTTCAGTCTGTAGTTTTTCTTCTATTCTGAACTCAGTTTCTCTTATCTGCTATATATTCAGTTTTTAATACATACCTTGTTGTGTGGTGTTTATTTTCACCATGGTTCATCTTAAAGATTTTGCTGACATTACCCTTCCCTCGGGTTCTTGCAGATTTGATTATCTACTTGCGGTGTGTAAGCATGAGAGCTTACTACTTGAGAAAGAGAAACAAGAGGATAAGCAAGAAAAGAAAGCATGCTACAATGATGATGATGATGATGATCAGTACTGTGAGGTTGATCTCAATAAGAGTTTGATCATTCCTTCCAACCATACAGTGCCTAATAAGGAGGAATGGAGGAAAAAATTGATGGGATCATTTTATGGCTTATCTTGGCAGAATGCTTTGAAGTCTGTGGTGCAAAGTGCAGCACGAAGCAACACACCAGAATCTGTTATTTCACATTCCAGTGGCACTGATGGCAGCAGAGCTTCTTTAAAGAGGAGATTAAAGTATGATGAGGTTGGGCGAGAAGCTGTGGCAGAGAGGATCAATTCCAAGAAGCGAAAGAGGGGAAGTAGGGTGCCCAACAACGGTCCAGAACCACCACCACCAGGACTGCCAGTTAAATTCAAAAATTTAATTCTCCAGTTGGCTGGTAAGCGGGCAGTATGTGTCGAGAAATTAGTGATTCAAAAGGAGCTTACCAAAATGGATGTAAACAACACCCAAAATAGGCTGTCAATCCCAGCGAGGCTTGTGAGGGAGGATTTCCTTACGGAAGAAGAGCATCTTCTACTTTGTCAGCGCAATGGGAAGAATGTATGTTCTATAGATGAAGTTCCGTTGATCACACCAATGATGGAGGTAGCAAAGGTGAGCTTGAGGAGGTGGGAGATGAAGAAGGAAAGGGGAGTTCCCAGTGTATCTTACGTCATAGCTAATACTTGGAATGAAATAAGAAGACGGAATAAATTTGAAAGCAAGATGATAGTTCAATTGTGGGCTATTCGGGTTGACGTAGATTTGTGGATGGCTCTAGTTAGGCTTTCTTGATCTTTTTTTAGTCAACTTACCACTTCAATTTAGGAGATACAAATATGCTCTTTGTATATGCTTTTTTGTGTTTTTTGAAACTAATTCAAAGAGTTTTGAATTTTGTTATGAATGTCTATCAAATACTGTTCAGTTCATTTTGAATGAGAGTAGGGATTATTTTGTTATATAAATGCTTTTAATTGTGTTATGGAATTCATAATATCGGTGCAGCTTCTTCTTCTGGATGTCTTTAAATTGTTCTTTATATTGAGTGTTTTCTATTTTCTGTTTCTGGAACTCTGGATGTATTTGATCTTTTAGTCTGTCAGCCAATGAACCCAGGTATTTAATTTTACAGTGATCAGTTGAGTAACATTGAAGTATATATAAGAGTTAAAGTTTCAAGGAGAAACAAATCTTGAAGTTGCCAAGATGAAGTTCATGAAACTTGGATTAAAGCCTGATTGCTTTCAATCAGAAGGGAACCACTTCAGGTAAGATGTTTTGCTAACCTTCTCAAAACTTTGTTACTAGCTATTGTCATTGTTAATATTGTGGTGGATTAAAACAGTTTGTTTATCTGAATGTTATTTCTTCTACTATTTTAAATTTTCTGGGGTTCAGTTGATTTTGTGTGTAGTTTTACCCCTCTAATAGTCTAATCCTTCCTCCTCTTCCCATTGAAACACAAATTCATCTTCAAATTTGAAGATAGAATCTATATGTCCTAGCTGAGTTCTGTCAGAAAGTGATATTGAAAACTGTGATCTATTCATCTAAAATATCTTGGTAGTTTGCATAGTGTTTTTTCATTGAGATCTCAGTGAATTGCTATGACAGGAACTGTTTTGAATCATTAATTTATAAGCTTTGTGTGATTATAGACAATGTAAATCACCACTGCACAACTGTATGTTCATCTGACCTGGATTGTTCCCGATTTTTTACAGCTTTTGTATTCAATATTCATCTATAAACCTAAGATTGGTGTACTTAACCATGTTACTTTTATACTGGGAGTTTTTGGCATTATCTGCATGCTCAAACATTGATATGCTACTCATTAGTACTCCCGTTCTATGTACATTTATGGTTGAAATTCAAGTTTTGCAGAATCTGAGACTCTACTTTGTAATTTATACCTTATTGTTACAATTTTGAGAAACAAGACTGCCTACTTTGGAGACATTGATTGTGCCATTTATAGATAGATATGAGTTAGTAGTTTTAAAGACTATTCCCATATGCGAGTATGAGGTAACTATGACCTCTTTTTCCTAGTATACTGACTTCAATTCACTGCTTCTATTTTTACTTTCTGCTGATTACATGGCCCAAAATACTCATTGCAGAGAGAACAAGGTTCGAAATTGAATTCGTTCCTCGTCTGAAGTTCCAATATGGTAAATCTTCTTCTTCTTTTAGCTTAATTAGTTCCATCTTCCAGAAATGGTTTTGAGTTACAAAACTGCAGACTAGGAAGTTTTTATAATATAATCAGCAAGTCTTGTGTGCTGGGAATTCCTTTTAGAAATTTTTTATTTTTATTCCCTTTTTAAGGAAAATTCTAATGCCTGGTCATGGTGCTAACAGGGCAGTCTAGGCATTGTATTATCATTGCCATTGCATATCAGATCAAAATTTCTTTGTTCTTGATATTTGTTATTGATTGGTTGTGACTTGTGAATACAGAGTATGCAAACATTTAATAATATGAAAAGTTGATTAGTTTTTTCTTTTCTCTTTTGGTTGAATTTCTTCATATGGTCTAGCTTCTTTTGAATTGGGATTGATAATTTACAAATGGATGGGGCCTTGAAAGTTGGGGAAATTGTGACTATTGGAAACAAGAAGCCTAGGTGAGTTTACTCCTGAAGGTCAAATATCATACAAACTATGGGTATTAGGTGTTTAGTTCTTTTAGGGGAGGGAATTTGTATTTGTAATTACTAGGTTTCAGTGTTGGCCTGGGCTTCATGGTGCAGAGAGAAGTAATTGGCAATTAATGTGTGATTAGAGCTATAGATTAATAAGAGCTTTAATTTGTACTTGTAATGTAATGATGCTTAAGATGGAGAGCTATAGACTAAAACAGAAGTATCTATTGTATTGATGTACTTTGAAGATACTATTTCTGGAGGTGAAAGTATATGAATGCTCTTTGGCATTTTGGGTTTCAGACAACTCCTTTGGTTATGGGAGCAACAGTTGGAAGTGTTGCACTGGGAGAAAGGTAGCTAATAAGAGCATGGCAAGCATTCAAAGTAGCCCCTCGAGTTGGGAGGTTTTATCCTGATGGATTTGAACCCGATATATTCTGATTATGCTTGAGTGTGGTAGTATTACAAAAGCAATCTCAAACACAGGAGGGGATTTTTTACTGTTGCAACAATTCAGAGTGTTGGTAACTCAATTCAGAGTATGTATCTAGTCTGGGTAAAATTTAAGCATTTTTACTGTTGCAACATTGATTATTTAAGAGGCAAATAGCTATTTGTAAGCTCCATCACAATCTGTCTAGGAAAATAATGGATTTGCTATCTTTGAGGGGGAATGGGATGATACAGGAATCAGGTATATCTCTCTTTATTTTTTTTTTTTATTTTTTTTTATTTTTTTTTTTGAGATCACTTAAGTGTTCTAAGATGTAGTGAATTGAGTGTTTTTTTAGCAAAGCTTACAAGTAAAATGAGAGCCATATACAAGTAAAATGCGTTGAACTTTAATTTTGACTTTTGATATATATATATATATATATATATATATATATATATATATATATATATATATATACTTTTTATCAATAAAGTATTTTATTATTTTGATAAAAATTAAAAATTCATTTTAAAAGAAAATGAGGTATATCTATTAACCGAGAGCTGATTAATAAAGGAAGCAACATGAATTCCCCTTGTGCTGAAGAAGTTTCCACGAGCAGCAGAAAGGGAAAGGAAGGCAATGATTCCTTCTCCATTTCAAGAGCTTATGAGGCGGCTAGTTATAGTTAAGACTCTCCTGAAGATAAGGACTGGGCAGCCATTTGGAAACTCAAAGTTCTTAACCGCATATGTACTTTCCTATGGCTCTTGAAGCATAGCAGACTCATGACAAATATGGAGAGATGTAGAAGGGGTTTCACGGCCAGGGACAATTGTGACACATGTAAAGATAGGCATGAAAATAGCGATCATATCTTCAGGAAGTGCAGAGCTGCAGATAACATCTGGAAAATATTCCTTCCCAGACATGAAAGGCAAAGACTTGAGAGATTAAGTTTTGAGGAGTGGTTTTCTACCAATCTTAGGGGAAAGGTGGAGTCCAGAGTAAAAAGAAATTGGAATATCTTCTTTGCTATTACCATATGGTGGTTATGGAAATGGCGTAATGAAGTTGCTTTCGGGGGCCAAGAGAAAGAGCTGCAACACAAGATTGAGTGATTAAGAGTCCAAGAAATGGAGATTAACAGGGCTTTCGCTAGATCATCCAGTCCAGGAAATCCCCAAGGGAGATACGTGGAGAGACAAATTCGTTGGAAGGGACAAGCAGATTCTCCTCTAATTCTCAATGTTGATGGCGCTTTTAGGGGAGTGGACACGTTAGCAGGTGGAGGCGCTGTACTAAGAGACAGAAATGGCAATTGGATTGAGGGTTGCTCATTCTCCTTCCAAGCTTGGAATCCGTTGGAAGCTGAACTCAGAGCGCTGGAGTTGGCACTTCGATGGATGGAATCCAAAGGAATCTTAAACTTGGAATTGCAAAGATGTTAAGGAGGCTCTTAAGGACGCCAACGATAGCGATCACCATAAAGGAACTATAAAGAGACGGTGCAGAGATTTACTCTGTAGAGGTGGTAGCATCGAGTTAGTGCATGTCTTTCGTGAACAGAATTCTGCTGCAGATTTTTTTGCTACAGTAGCTCCTAACAGGAGGGAGCCTTGTATTATTTTTGATTCCACTCCCCCTGACTGTGAAACTTTGGTTTGTAATGATCAAATGGGAGTTGTGAGTGATCGTCTCATGCTTGAGACGGAGTAGGCTGTTTTGTTTTTCTATCCCTCAGCCTGGGGTGTCCCCCCCCCCCCCCCCCCCCCCCCGTTTGTAGTTTCAAAAAAAAATCCTTAATTATACATCTGATCCCATTTAGTCACTGAATTGTTCGTTTAATTGTTGTTTCTCCCTCACCTCAATTTTATGTTAAAATTGACGGGGATTAAAGGGTAAATTTAGAAATTTTTAGCTTCTCCTAAAGTTACAAATCAAATAAATTTTTAAGTTGTGTAACCATTTTTGTATGTAATATATATTATAGTTAATTCTGGATTTAGTCCTTTGACCCTCCTGCACTCATTTCCAAAGTTAATCATTGAGTATTGAATCATTTTCAATTATAATTCACACATGAAAAAGTTTATAGTGGATTACAATTGGAAATGATTCAATACTCAAGGACTAAATTTGGTAATTGAACCGGT